AGAAGGGGTGCTTATGCACAGGGAGACAACTCAGGGGGCAGGAGTGCATGGAGGGATGGACACAGGGAAGAGGTAACTATCGGGAGGAAGTGGGAGGGGAGCTGTTGCATTGGGGTAAATTGGAGTTAATGTCATAAGACAAAGAGTACGTGCACTGCTGTATGGAAAGTGAATTTGCTCTATAAACTTTCACCCAAATTACAATTTGAAAAACAACATAAATGGCAACTATACACGTGGACATCACCAGATGAATACATAGGAGTCAAATCAACTGTAGTTGTGGAAAGAGATGATTGAAAAGCTCAATATCATCAATCAGAACAAGCCCAGGAGGCAACTGTGAAACAGACCATCAGTTTCTTATATTCAAGAGCTCTGGTAGTATAGTGCCTAAGGCATTTGATCACTAACCAGAAGCCTGGTGGTTCAAGCCCACCAGCCACTCCTCGGAAGGAAAGTTGGGCAATCTACTTCCGTAGTGATACTGCCTCAGAAACCCAAGGAGGGGTCTTTATGAGCCAAGCCTGACTGGATAGCACGTAACAACCACAACAATGTACATGCAGATGATACAACCATGCTTGCTGAAAGGGAAGAAGACTTGAAGTACTTACTGATGAACATCAAAGACTACAGTCTTCAGCATGGATTATATCTCAGCATAAAGAAAACTAAAATCCTCATAACTGGACCACTAAACAACATCACAATAAATGGAGAAAAGATTGAGGTTGTCAGGAATATCATTTTATTTGGATCCACAATCAACACCCATAGAATCAGTGATCAAGAAATCAGATGATGTATTGCACTGAGCAAATGTGCTGCAAAAGACCTTTTTAAAGTTTTGGTTTTAATGTTTACCTGACTCAATGTTCTGGTTACCTAGTCCTGCTCTGACAGAAATACCACAAGTGGGATGGCTTGAACAAACAAGAGTCTCTTATAGTTCGGGAGGCTAGTAGTCCGAGTGCAAAGTGCCAGGCTCTAGGGGCTGTGTGAAAGCCCCTCGACTGTGGGCTTCAGCTCTCTCTTGCTCCCAGACCACTGAAGCTAGAGGCATCTCTTCACTCAGGCAGCTACTGGCTGCTGAGGCTAACAAGCCCAAGGTCGACAAATAAAATGGCACAGTTCCGATGTTACCAAACTACATGGGAGGTCATTAATTCAAGTCCATTGAAAGTCCCAAGATCAGCAGAGCATGGCAGACTGCTGAACAATGACACAGCTACATGCAGGGTTCAAGCATGTCATAGGCTAGAGACCATTCCCAAAGCTGCTGCTTATATACGGGAAGCAAACCACATACCCAAAGCAGCTACTCAGCTCCTCCAATAGATTCCACAGTGGAGTTTATTGCCAGTTTCACCATAGGGAATAACTACCTCCAACTGCCCAGCCACTCAACAAGGCCCAGCCAAGTTGACATACAAACTTAACCACCACACTCAAGCCATGATATTTTCAGTCACCTCATATGCATGTGAAAGCTGGAAAAATGAATAAGGAAGACCAAAGAAGAGCTGATGGCTTTGAATTAAGGTGTAGGTGAAGAATACTGAAAACGTCATGGACTGCCAGAAGAATGAACAAACCTGTCCTGGAAGAAGTGCAGCCATAACCCTTCTTGAAAGCAAGAATGGACATATTTGTTCCTCTTTTCAGAAGAGACCATACCCTGGAAAAGGATATCATGGTTAGTAGAGAGTTAGCAAGAAAGGGAAATACCCTCAGTAAGATGGATTGGAACACTGGCTGCAGTGATGGCCTCAATCTTAGCAATGGTTGTGAGGATGATGCAGAAGCAGGCAGTGTTTCATTCTGTTGTACATAGGATCGCAATGAGTTGGAACTGACTCAAGGGTGCCTAACAACCAAAACAAAACTACCTCTGCTGAACCACGCCCTATGAAAAACTTTTCTAACATGACACTAGGAAATCTGCCAACAGAAATAATGTCCCAGAGAGGAAGACTAGGAACTGACAGTCCTGTTTTACAGATCACCCAGTTACCAAGAGAGAGTGTATCAGAGAAGGTATTCACCACAGCTCCTAACTCTGTTACCACAGGGCCTCCATGTTACTAGGCCAGGTATCCCTTTATGGTTATATAACTGTCAGTGTCGGTTTGTATTAGATAACCTAACCTTAGCTAGTATTGTTCTTAAGCCACCCTACTAGAAATGATCTGTTTTAAGCCACAACATTTATACATATTTTATTCTTACTATGTCTATTCATTTTCAAGGGGACAACATTATATAAATTTATGTATATAACAAAGGTAAAGCAAAAAAGAAACAAACCAGTTGCTGTGGTGACCCTACGTGTTTTAGAGTAGAGCTGTGTCCCGGAAACTCTTTTTGAATCTTTTAGGAAAGGTCTCTATTGTTAAAAAATGACTTTGAAATCTTTCTTCTTTGTGTTTAAGTATTCATCAAAAGGATTGTTTTTTTTTTTTTTTTTTTTTTTTGCATTGTTTTCCCAGCTATCCTCTTGTAACCCAGTTAGTTTTGAGTCTGTTTTATCCAAAATGCATCATGCTAAGTTTCAGTCATGACACTACCGAGATCAAAAGGCTTCATTTTCTGGCCTCAAAGTGTCTTTTCTTTCCACATATTATTTTGTAATTATATTGAAATTGACTTATATGCCCCTCAGAATCTTGGTTACAGACTGTATTTTTCTTTTCCTCTTGTTAAATAAATATCTCTCTAGGAAATTATCTTTGTTTAGCTTATAATGTTTTGATGTATTCCTCAAGAGGGGGAATAGATTTGCATTAATGAGTATTTCATTTTCATTTGTTTTTTAGAATATTTGCTTTCTACTTGTATGTTCTCTTCTCTGACTTTCTTCTTACTGGGAAATGACCAGTATTAACGTGGAATTCTATTTCTCTGAAATGCTTTCTCCAGTTACAGGCTTCCTAGCTTGTGTGATTGTGATTTAAGACACACATATTTCTTTTAGACCACTTTTGGAAAGCAGGAAAAGATAAACAGTAAGGTGGATTAATATTGAGAGTAATATTCTACCTGAGAAAATTTGCCAAATGTTTGTGGTGAACAGTGAACCACTAGAAAGGGATAAAGCAGTAATAAGTTTCTTTTCCTCCTTCTTTTTCCCGAGCTAGACTGTATACTTTAGCCTAGATGGTCCCTGTCCTTTCTCCCAGCTTTGCCAAACTTACTCATGCTGCACTCTCTCTGTGGGTGCACTTCCTTTGGCCTTACATCTATCCAGCTCAAATCCTTCCCCAATATTAAACTTTTTTCTCTCCTCTCAGACCACACTCATCTTTTCCTTCTCTGAACTCAGATGCACATGTATGTTTAAAAGGAAAATTTAATTTGTTGTCAAATCAGTTCCAACGCATGGTGACCCCCGTGTGTCAGAGTAGAATTGGTTCCACAGGGTTTGCAGTGGCTGCGTTTTATAAAGTCGATCACCAGACCTTTTTTCCTAGGCACCTCTGGGTGGACTCAAACCTCCAACTTTTAAGTTAGCAGCAAAAGTGTAAACATTTGTACTACTCAGGAGCTCCGTATGTATTCACTAGTTGAAATCTGTCTCACTCCTAGAAATTATAGTTTGCAAAGTTTCTAGATGGCCTAAGAGGGCCTATGTTTTTTTATTTTTCAACAGAATTACCATATACTGGTGAGTTCTACCTTTCATTTCTCAAGTAACACTACCAGTTTTTTAGGTCTTAGGCAAAACCTGATAAGTAAAATGATATAAAGAATACTTGTGGGCATCACTTGTCAAGGGTCTGGCCATGAGTTAACACAGGGCCAGCAAATCAGAACTGAGTCAGAGCAGCCACATCTGGCCCAGCCTTATCAGCAGGGTCATAGCCTCACTTAGATCTCACTTATATTGTGTAAATTAGCACTAGGAAATTATTACCTCTTTGTACTTCCACAAAGATCAGTCAAGATTGGGATTTGATCTGGAGAGTGCTTTCATCAGTGGGGTTTGCTGAAAGAATTCAGTGACTTAGGATTTTGATATCTGAAAATGGAGTTTTATGAAATTGTATCTGTCTCCTTTCTCCATGATCAGTTTTTTTGTTTTGTTTTGTTTTGTTTTAGATAAGATGACTAACTCCTTACTAGCCCAGGCCAGTAACTATTCTACAGGAATTGTGAGATATAAAACCCAATCTTTCTCATCACCTAACCTCCACCCACTAGCCCCCAAAGATTACTGGTGGGGACAGGAACTACAGGAATGGAATCAAGTGACAATTCACCGATTAACTGAGGAGGTTTCACTCCTGGTTCCTTTGTAGCTTTTAGAGTATTTTCTTCATTTGTGTAAGCTAGAATGTGTCACTTATTGTTGGTAACATTCACTATCATAAGATAAGCAGAACCATTATCTTTAAAATGAGCTCCCTGAACCTTCTTTGTCAAAACTCTGGAGCAAGAGTTCATGTTCAATGAAAAGTCTCAGTATCTTCCCTTATCAATGTGTTCTGGAAAAATACTTCTCTCTCATGATTTGATGAATAATCCAATATTTAACCTTACTTTTTAATATGGAAATAGGCGTGGACTTATTTTCCCACCTGTGCTCAGATTCACAATTTTTTTAATCATATTAGAAATAGTCAACAACTTCTTCTATTAAAAACAGACCCCAAAAGACAAAATCTATTCCTTCTGTCACCAAGTTCACTGCTTGGCACATAGTAGGTGTGCAAAACACATGTTCCACACAAAAAAACAAATGAGGATCTATAATGAATTCAATATGCTTGGCTTACTGTGTGCAGAAAAAAATGATGAATATTTTGAATTGAGCAATGGCAGATGTTTTGTTAGTTTTCTCTTTGCAGCAGCCTATGATATTAAAATGTAAATTAAAGTACCAAACTCACAGGAAGAAGATAGGATTATCTAGCAGATAAGACTAACCCTAATGCTTTTCCAAGCTGTTGTAAACATAAGCTTTTGGTGTGTCTTGATTTCCCTGATGCTTAGATGCCCAGCCCACAGAAGGAGAGAGAGAAATATGGAACCAGATCAGCGCAATCCTCCAGGATTCTGAGAGCATCCTCGCAGACCTACAGGCTTACAAAGGAGCGGGGCCAGAAATCCGAGATGTATGCCAATGTTAATACTAAACTGACAGCATCCCGGGAGGAGAAAGGAAAGCCACACATGCACATACACAGCAAGATTAAGTAATACCTTTAGAATTTCCTAGACTACTATGAAGAACAAGGAGAGTAATGTGTCCTTAAAAAAAAAAAAAGTATGAATGGCTCCATTCTAATACATGAATCTGAGCACACAGTGCTGTAGACCATGTAAAATATTAGCCATTCTCTTCTTATACATACATTTGATACTGCAGACTCACATTTAAACAATAAATTGTCAGCATATTACTTCATTGAAGGGATGCCTACATATAAAATCTGTGAACAGCCATTGAAATATAACTTGTAAGGTCTGAATTTACATGTACTTTCCCACATTTTGTAATAATTTTGGCAGCTTCCATCAGTGTTGCACACAAAAGCTATAAACTACCTCAGTTTAAGTGGCCTACAGGTTTGTCATCTTGTGTAGTCTTATGAAACAAAATATAAATAAATTTTAAAAAATAATAACAAAAAAAAATAGGGAAACTGTCATTTGGACTTTGGAAACTTCATAATGCCTTAAAAACAAGAAACCTCATACTCCATTTATTTACAGTATTTTGTGACGATATCAACAAACAAAAGCGTACACATGTGCACGTGCATGCACACACATATGCCACCTACACTGTCCCTTTGAAAAGAATACCATTACCATCATAATCACCAAGCTGATGAATCCTAGACAAGAGAGTATTTGTGAAAAATTAACAGCCTTTTTACAAGGTAATTTGTCTACTTATGGGTCATCATTTAATTTAGCTACTTTAGATAACATTGTAGACTAGCATATTATATATATATAATAGAGAAAGGAAAATAATTATAGAATTTACATTTCATGATGAGCATTAGCTCTACTTTAGAAGAATTAAATCGTGAAGGAGGAGGGGTTAATTGCCTCCAATTTAGATGTGTCCTTTTTTTTTTTTTTTTGTATCCAAGATAGCAGAAACAAGTCAATGACACAGTATTGAATGTAGAGACATTTGCATTAGTTGAAGTATACAAATCTTCATCATAAATGAGCATCTTGGGGGACAGTCCCATGAACTGACACCAACTTAAGTAGTACACATTAACAGAATAGAGCAGAGATTATATTTTTTGCTAAAATCATTTCTCAAGCTTAAGGAATTTGATGTGGAGCTTATTTCTTCTTTTTAAGCAGACAATTGTATCATGTTTTGTAGGCAATTCAAAACCCCAATGATATTCAGCTTCAGGAGAAAGCTTGGAATGCAGTGTGTCCTCTGGTTGTGAGACTAAAGAGATTTTATGAATTTTCCATAAGGCTAGGTGAGTATGTGTTTATAGTGTGCGTGTCCCATGTGTGAATTTTTTTGTTGGCATTTGAGAAGGTAGCAGGAGCAGCTCAACATATTGGCAAATGCCCCCACATCCATCCATTGTGTGTGATGAGAGACCGTTCTTGGGCGACAATATCTTCCATTTCATTTATTTCAATCTACCACAAAGTTCCTTCCCTGAAATTATTGCATAGTTAGAGTGTCTGTGCTGGTATATATCCCTTGGGTCATGTTCTCATCTGTGTCCAACTCATAACACTTTTATGGGGAGGCTGATCACATTTCTGAATGAAAGAGAAGTTAGAAAATGCAGGTTACTTGCTAGACTCAGAAAGAACTTGGTTGGCTATACTCATTTCATGAATTTAGTATAGTGAAATAGAAGAAAAACAAAGATAAAGTTCTATCTTTAAGCTTAAAAAAAACATTACACAGGTATAGCATGGTTTTGCAGAAGGAAAAATAAAGCAAAATCTGGTTGACAATAGGATCAGTGTGCGCAGCAATATAATATAACTGCTCTCCACAACAGAAAAGCTATCCTGGGCTACATTAGTTGATATAATATATCTAGATCAAGGAACAAATAGTCAGGTTTTGCTCTACTTTTGCCATAAAATGAGTGCCATCTTTTAAGAGAAAAACAGATGAGTTGAAATATTTTGGCGGATCGGACAGGAATATACCACAAATGGGATGGCTTTAACAAACAGGAGTTTATTTGCTTACAGTTTTGGAAGCTAGAAGTCCAAGTTCAAAATGCCGAGCTCTAGGGGCTGAGTGAAAGCCACTGATCCTTACTCTTCAGCTCTGCCTCTTGCTCCCGGCCCACTGAAGCTAGAGGCATCTCTTCACTCGGGCAGCTGCTAGCTGCTGAGACTGACAAACCCAAGGTCAACAAGTGAAAAGGCATAGCCCCGATATTACCAAACCATATGGCAGACTATTAATTCAAGTCCATTAGAAGTCTCAAATTGGCAGGGCAACATGGCAGGCTGCTGAACAACGATTTGGCTACATGCAGAGTTCAAGTGTACTGTCAACTGGAGACCTTTCTCAGGGTTGCTTCTTACATACTGGAAGTAGCCCACATCCCTAAAAAGCAGCCTCTCAGCTGCTCCAGCAGATTCCACAATAGAGTTAATTACCAATCTCACCATGAGGAATAACTACATGCAGCTGTCCAGCTACTCAACCAGGCCCAGCCAAGTTGACATACAACCTTAACTATCAGAGAGGAATAACATGAACGATGTTGAGATGACTCAAAACTAAGTCTGACAGAGAGTAATTGAGTAAACAGACCGATTTTACAACCAGTGAGGGCTTTTGAAGACTTTCAGGTAGAAAAGGGATCATTCTCTATATTTCTCAAAGTGTAGGTCTAGGCCCAATGAATTGAAATCCTAAGAGGCAAAGTTTCAGTTCAGCAGAAGGAAAAAGACCCTGAGCTCTAGGGGTTGAAAAAGAATCAAAGCAGGCCAATCTAGAACTGGCTGGCTCAGAAGACAGTGGGTTGCCATAAATGGGAATGTTTAACAAAGATTAAGGATGTCCTTTGTAAAGATGCTATAGAAGGTTTTTAAGGACTATATAGTATAAGGATTAGCAAACTTTTCTGAACATTACCAGATAGTAAATACTTTAGACATTGTGAGCCACACACAGTGTCATAACTACTCAGCTCTGTTGTGGTAGCATAAAAGCAGCCCTAGGCAGTGCACAATGAGTGGGTACATATTCCAGTAAGATTTTATTTGCAAAAACAAGAAGTGAGCCAGATTTAATTTGTGGGCCATCGTTTTCTAACTCTTGATATAGAGGATTGAGCAAATGACTCAATGCTATTAGAAACATACTGAAAAGAAAACTGGAGGGAATTCTTAGAAACCAACCAGTAGAAGCTGCAAGGGCAATAATGGGGGAAGATATGGCAGTGGTTGTGTAGATACATAGTCCTAGGATTAGGTTGGAACACAGATGCAGAGAAAAGTTGATATGGGACTAAAAGTCTTTCTCTGAAAAGCAGGTCATCTGATTCATCTGTTAAGGGCTGCTGCCTTATCTCATCTTGTATTATAAATGGCTATCTCATGCACATGATCCAAAAACACATATTTGTGGTTTTCTGGGAATGTTTGGAATTAAAACTACTAAATATGTGAGGTTTGGAAGGAAGGTTGGGCAATCCTACTTCCGTAGTGATACTGCCTCGGAAACCCAAGGAGGGGTCGCTATGAGTCGGGGCCGACTCGACGGCACATAACAACAACAACAACAAATATGTGAGGTTTAGAGAGAAGCATTTGCAGAACTCTGTGGCCATAGGAGGCATCTGCAGTGGAGGAAGCCTGCTCGGGCACGTCGGAATCCGCGTCATTCTCCACGCATATCATTTCTCACACAGATATGGGGAAAGATGTGGTGTAGGAAGACCCAAACAGATTCCCTCTGAGATTATTAAATGTGGCTGGGAATAGTGCTATTTGAAGGATCTCACATGTATTTTTATCCCTTTGACTTTCAGAAAAAGCTCTACAGAGTTTATTAGAATCACTTACCTGTCCGCCCTACACGCCAACCCAACACCTGGAGCGGGAGCAGGCCCTGGCAAAGGAGTTTGCAGAAATTTTACATTTTACCCTTCGATTTGATGAGCTGAAGGTTAGGCCAAAAGTGCCTTGGACATTTAACAACAAACTAATTACCTACTGTGTGTGGGCACTCTGCCAGTGGTGTGGGTAGGGAGATAGAGAGATGAGTAAAACATAGCTCTTGACCTGGAGGGACATAAAATGTGGTGAAAATTTGCATTCCATGAGTAAAACTAATACAAAACAGTGATCTGCACATGGAAATGCAAAATCTGCCAAACGTAGTAAGAAAAAACCTTTTCAAGTATCTGTTCCCGTTTGAGAACAAATATGCTTCTCTTGGAGTCTAGTCTACTTTAAAAAACAGCATATTTTAAAACAATGTAGCTAAAAGTACTTTTTCTTTCTTTTCCTTTTTTAAACCAATAGTTACTTTGACTCTTTTGTAACAAAAAGTCCTGGTATGTTTCCAAAAAAAATTTGAGTGTCCAAGCTACAAGCTGCTAATAAATCTCCTTCTGATACTGAGAGATGACTTCCTTTCCTTCCTTCTGGATTTCAGATGAGGAACCCAGCTATTCAGAATGACTTCAGCTACTACAGAAGGACAATAAGTCGCAATAGGATCAACAACATGCACGTGAGTCTGTGGGTTTTCTGGGCCTTTGTGTCCTTCTCCATGGATACTTTGTTTTTTGCATGTGGAAACATACAAGAAAAAGACTACTTACTTGTCTATAATTCAGTTTCCAGGGACATGATTAGGAGATTTTTACCATCTGTTTGCAAATTGTATCTTCTCTTCTTAATTTCATCAGCTAGACATTGAGAATGAAGTCAATAATGAAATGGCCAATCGAATGTCCCTCTTCTATGCAGAAGCCACACCAATGCTGAAAACCCTTAGCAATGCAACAATGCATTTTGTCTCTGAAGTAAGTGAGGTTTAGCAACAGGTTCTTCTTTCTTAATTCCAAATAAAATCTAGTAGGACTAATGTACGTTTGTGTCTCCCATTTAGAACAAAACCCTGCCAATAGAGAATACCACAGACTGCCTCAGTACAATGACAAGTGTCTGTAAAGTCATGCTGGAAACTCCGTAAGTTAAATCAAAGGTGTAATTCATTTTTGTGAGTCCACCCAGCCAGGGTCTATTGTCTCAGGAAGAATAGCAGTTGATAGTGATGATGATGTTAATGATGACAATGACATCTAACATTTGGGTCAACACATTGACATTTATATCCATATTATCTTATTTAATCTCATAAAGAACTCTGAGTGATAGGCATATGGATTCCCAGTTAATAGCTGAAGAAACCAAGGCTCAAATGGGTAAATAAATTTCCCATATATTGTATAGATAACTAGATATCAGAACTAAGACTCAAATCAGATATGCTGTTGAAGATATGTAAGGAGCAAGTGGAAGGTTGAGTTAAATGACAGTATTGTTAAAAATTCCCTAGAGAAAAGACTTGGGCAAAGATTTAGAACCAAGAGTGGAAATGTTATATCTACTACAGGGATAACAATGGGGGTTTCTCTCTCCATCTCTCTCCACTACCCCCCCCCTTTTCTTAGCAGTTTCTTTGTACCTAAAAGGAGCTCTGGTGGTATAGTGGTTAAGTGCTTGGCTGTGAACCAAAAAGTCAACAGTTTGAACCCACCAGCTGCTCCATGGGAGAAAGATGAGGCAGTCTGCTTCTGTGAAGATATACAGCCTTGGAAACCCAGTGGGGCAGTTCTGCTCTGTCCTATATGTTCACTATGAGTCAGAATTGACTCAATAGCAATAGGTTTCTTTGTACCCAGATCAGTTCCTAAGCTTTTTTTTTTTTTTTTTTTTTTTTTTTAAAGTGTGTGATATTATTGAGGATGAGGCAGCATGGTAATGAGGAAATCTGCATTTGAAAACCTGAGGTCTACCTGAGTCTGACCCATCATCTACCTATGGACAAGTGGTCTGATCTCTCTGGGCCTTGGTTTCCAATCTAATGATAATGCCACCTAATGTACAGATTATTTGGAAGGACCAAAGACGTCAATAGTTAATGTATAATATCTGATGCTCTGTTCAAATGTAAGATGGCATTAATTTCAAATGTTTCACTTATACCAAAGTTAAGACTTATTCCAAGACAGAAATAGTAATCATCTTCATTGTGGAGCCAATTCATAATGAGATAGATGCTAAGAAAGCCTTTAGAACTGCCTGAATTATCTTAATCATCAGGGATCCTGTCAAGGTAAGTGAACAAAATTCAAACTCCACAAATACTCTCAGCTCAATGAATGGCATATAATTTCTTTTAGGTATCTTTGCCAATCCAATTCCATCTGCAGTCTATCTTAACAAAGGAAGTTACTATAGCTGGAGACATGGTAGCTGCTCTGTAGAAATGAGCTTGATTCTTTTCTCTGTAACAAAGCCATTATTCTCTGTAATCATGGACCAAGGGACCCCCTATAAAATATTCAAGATTGATGGGAGGAGGAGTGGTATACATGATCAACCAACCTGCTGAAGGGCAAAAGGAAGAGAATTTACTGCCCTCTAATTTACTTTATTTTTGCACTAAATTTCTGGTTTTATTAGATTCAAGGAAAATTATCTTCATGAGTTTCTTTAAGAGCATATTAACCCAGTTGTTGCAGGTCTGGGATTGTTCTCAAGAGAGGATTGGAGGAGTCTAAAGTAGCCAGTGTGGGGCCCAAAGGTGAGCATGCACTGACAAGGAAGTAACACTGCTGCCATCTCCTCTCTCTTCCAGGGAATACAGGAGTAGGTTTACGAGTGAGGAAACACTGATGTTCTGCATGAGGGTGATGGTGGGGGTCATTATCCTCTACGACCACGTCCACCCTGTGGGAGCTTTCTGCAAGACATCCAAGATTGATGTAAGAATAGCGAAGGAGTGGGCTTTCCAAATAAGAGCACAAGAATGGTGCCAAACAGACCTTGCTTTCCCACTCTCCACTCTACCTCCCACTGGGAGTGATCTTTCCAGGATACAACCGCCCCTTATGGAAGTTCTCTCCATGGCAAGAAGTCTAATTTTCTGTATGTTTACAACAAAGCATACCAACCTCCAAAGGATAGCAGGCATACCAAGATGCTGATCCCCTCAGCCCGTGGTGGAACTGAGCAGCTGAATGTCACTTGGCTTCAAGATGCCCCTCTCATTTACCCACTGCAACACACATGATATATAATATATTCCTCAATGTGAAAACAGTTGGGACATTGGAACATAACTGGATTACAAGACTCCTAGATCATATCCCAAATAACCTTTCCAGATTCATGTCCCACTACTTCCTACCTTTTGCGCCACCCAGTTTCTATGCCTTTTCAATTTGAGTATGCTCAAGCCCTTCCCCCTGCCAAGCATGCCTTTCCTCTTCTCTGAGAGGCAAAACCCTCTAAAACATTCCTCAAATGTCACCTTGTCAATGGATGTATTTCCTGTGTCCTACAAGGGTCAGAGCTTTCCTTCTCTCTGACTTCCAGAGCACTTACCATTTTGTATTTTCTGACCCCCTCACAGACTCTGAGTTCTTTTTTACAAGGGCATAGACCATCATTTATAAACCTAGTATGTCTTCTATTGCCTAGCATTGTCTTCAGCACATGATAGATGTTCCACAGAGAGTTTGCTGAATGAGTGTATATAATCAGGAAACTCATGACTCTGATGCCTTCTTCTTGATTGTGGGATAAAGCATATATCCCTTTAGCCCAGATACTGCCTACAGCATCAAACTCCATATTGTATCCATGGAATTAATTTAAAACCTTTTAAGTGCCAAATAGGCCCTTTTTTTACTAACTTATTCTGACATGACTAAATTTAGGTGGTGGTTGTTGTTGTTATGTGCCATCGAGTCGGCCCCGACTCATAGCGACCCCTCCTTGGGTTTCTGAGGCAGTATCACTATGGAAGTAGGATTGCCCAACCTTCCTTCCGAGGAGTGGCTGGTGGGTTTGAACCCCCAGCCTTCTGGTTAGCAGTCAAGTGCTTTTAGCCACTATGCTACCAGAGCTCCAACTATTTCATTCATCTGTACAGAATAGTGCCTTTGATGCTCTAGCACTGTGTAGAAAGTCTAAATGCCCAGAGTGGCCTGAGTTCTGAAGGACGCAAGGAACTTAAGTATCAATGAAAACTGCAACTTGCATTACTCACTTGGAGGCTCTGGGTCCCTAGCACAGCTGAGCATGGATCTTCAAAGAGTCCTCATGACATTCTTTTAATTTTTTTTTAATAAAATATTATAGTTTTTCATTATTGTGATAAATATGTAGGCAAAAAAACAGCTGTCATTTCAACAGTCTTTACATGTATAATTCAATGATTACAAATATTTTCATCATGTTATTCAGCTGTCACCACTTGTGACTTTTTAATGTAATTATTTTCTGTTTACCAAGAGGATAAGTAGTTGTTATAGAAAATTTGGCAAATACAGAAAATTAAATGTATAACCCCACTACTGACAGATGACTAGTACTCATATAGTCAATATACATAATTCCTTTCTTCTTATGTAAATGTTTCTGTGTCTGTCTGCTTGTATATACTTAACAGCTTAGGCCCATGCTATACATGTCATTTTAAAGTGCATTTAATTCACTTAACAGTATATTATGGACATTTTGTCTTAACAATAAATGTATTTACTGTATTATTTGTGAAGTTTTAACATTTGTATGCTACAGATTGAGTATAAATAATTCTTAGTATAACTCAATGAATACCATTGGAATGTATATTGAGTTTAATGCTTGATAATAATCGAACTCATCAGCTGCTCTGCAAGAGAAAGATGTAGTCTGCTCCCATAAAGATTTAAAGCCTTGGAAACCCTATGAGGATGTTCTACTCCATCCTGTAGGGTTGCTATGAGTTGAAGTAGACTTGACAATAGTGAGAATCATAGGACAGTGAGTCATGGTGACTCATCTGCTAACCAAAAATTGATTGTTCAAACCTTCCAGCCACTCTGTGGGAGAAAGATGAGGTAGTCTGCTTCCATAAAGATTACAGCCTTGGAAACTCTATGGGTCAGTTCTAATCTAATCTATAAGGGTTGCTATGAGTCGGAATCAACTTGATAGCAATGAATTTGGTTTCGATTTTGGTTTTGGTTTTGGTTTTAATTATAGAACATTCTAATTTACTATACTATTTTTTTGTTCAGTTTGTCACAGAGTGAACCACTTAAAACAATACTGAATACAATTATGTCTTTTAGTCATAACCTGTAAAACACTTGACTTTAATATCATTTACTGAGTATTTCTACTAAATTTGCAAATAGTATATAATGTGAAATCTAAACATTCATAATCCTGATTAAATCTATTTGTGTGTTCAGGTTTCATTATAAAGATTTGTTCAGAAAACAAATATGCTCTGTAAAATTTAACCCAAATCACAATAAAAAGTTAAATAAAAAAAAAAAGAAAGGTTTGTTCCTAGTAAAAGTTGTGTGTATCTCCAAAAAGTCCCAAACACAACCATATTCAAGATGGCCCATTTCTTTTAATGACCTAACAGGTCTTCTTCTGGGCCCTAGTCTATTGCTAGGTCAGTAGTTAGAACAATGTGTTTGTAAATCCTTAGAGTTTCGTCGTTAACTGTGAATAAACAGGTATTGATTTGTCAGATCCTGTGGTAAACACTATACATGCACTCACAGAGAATATGCCTCAGAGTGAAAAACAGGTGCGTGGTGAGCTCTTGTGACCTAGATGAGGGGGAAGCACATCTGTTTAAAGGCAGAGGCAGGCAGAGGCCAGAAGCTGATGTTTAAGGTGAGCTTCAAAGAAGGTGTAGGATTTTCCCAAAGAGGCAGATGAAAGGGAGAGTTGTCTAGACAGAGGGAGTAGTCAGAGCAAAGGGGTATGTGCCAGTAGGAGAGTAGATGATAATCTTGGGTGCCAAGAAAAGCAGGCTGAAGTAAGATGTTGTTTTCAACTGATTTCCTTAATCTTTGGTCCTTCTCAGACCACCCCAAGAATGTAGGCCCCACATATTCTGAACACCTGAAACATGGCATGCCCCAAACTAAGGGTTTCCACAACATGCTTCTCCTCTTGGGTTCCAGGCCTCAGGTGTTCATCATCATCCAACACATCTCTAAAGTAGACCTAGGGATTGTTCAAACTTCCTCCCTCTCCATCAACCCCCCTTTTCTGTCCATCACCAAATCCTATGGAATCTATCTTAGATTAATCTGCCCTTCTCTCCTTTCTCCATACCCTCTCTTTCTCTATACATCATAACACTCACAGGTTCTCCCTGCACCTCCTAACTGGTCCCCCTATCACAAGTTTTTGTTTTTTTTTAAATTGTGATTTGGGTGAAAATTTACAGACCAAATACACTTTCCAAATAGCAGTTCACACACACTTTGTCTCGTGACATTGACCACAATTTACCACAATGCAACATCTCCCCTCCTACTTCCTCCCGATAGTTACTTCTTCTCTGTGTCCATCCCTCCATGCACTCCTGCCCCCTGTGCATAAGTAGCCCTTCTTTCTCCCATGCTTGTACCCTCCAAGGAGTGTGTCTTCCTCAGTTAAATGTTCAACTCATATACCTGTCTATTGTTTGGCTGGAAGCCACAGGTGTGGGTTCAATTCCAGACCTGAAGGGCAGCTAGGGGCCATAGTCTCAGTGGTTCCACCAGGCTCTATTGTACCAGCAAACCTGGTCGACCCTTTTTTATTTTCTCCAAATGATTTTGAGTTTTGTCCCACATTGTTCTCCCTCTCTATCCAGGATCTCCTACATAGATCCTCTTCCAAGTGGTTGACAGTAGTAGCCAGGCACCATCTAGTTCTTCTGGTCTCATAGTTGTATAGGCTGCAGATCGGATGGTGTACCAGTCGCTAGGACTAATTGTTTCCATGAATTTTTGGTTTTCTTCATTATTCTTGTCTCTGGACGAGGAGAGACCCATCGTTGCATCTAGATGGCAGCTTGCAAGCTTTTAAGATCCCAGTCACTACTTGCCACAGTAGGAGGTGGAACAAAGTTTTGTGTAGTATGTTATGCCAATTGAGCTTGATGTCCTCTGCAACTATGATCCTGGGCCCACAGGTTCAACTATTCAGTCCCTCTGGGTCCTATCACAAATCTTGCTTCCTTCTGAGCTCTTTCTATTTAACCACATAACCAGATTATCACCTCTTAAGTCGTCTCCATTTTTTATAGGTAAAGGCCCCAAATTCACCAACATAATATAAACCTGCTCTTGATCTGGCCCTGTCTACATCCCTTGCCACATCTTGGTATTTCCTACTATGCATCCAATACTATAATCATCCTGGAGTAGAACTAGAAATCCCCAGAGTGGACTCAGTGCTCTTTCAGCCCTTTCCTACATCTCTCTTCCCACTGCCCCTTAGACTTGTTTTATGTGATGATTCATCACACTGGGATAATGAACTATTTGTCTCTTTTCTGTCATTGGACCATGGGCTTCTTTGAGAGAGGAACCAAATCTTTTCATGCCTGGGTCTTGACCCATGCCTGAAACTGAGCAAGCTGGGGTACCAATATCTGGTTATCACTACAGAAGTAGATTGCCCAACCTTCCTTCTGAGGAGTGGCTGGTGGGTTTGAACTGCCAACCTTCTGGTTAGCAGTCAAATGCCTCAGGCACTACACCACCAGAGATCCCTGGATGTATGACAGACATCTCTAATTGACCACAACATTCTTTCTTGATGAGCCTGTATGTGAATCCCAAATGATTCTCAACCCTGTACTCTCAGCTTCCTCTATTAATCCATCAGGGCTTATCAAGCATTTGAGATAAAACTTTGCTATACCGTAATTAGACCCAGGAAATATTCATTCATAAGTATCATTGAAAAAGAGACTGCTAGTATAACCAAATCCAGTATAGTACCTAAACATCTGAGTTTAAAATGAGTGATTCTCAATTTTTCAGATTCTTACTTTGCAGGGGAAAAAAAAAAAAAAACACTGCAGAATATGCATAATATAATGCAAGCTATATAAATTTGGTTTCCATGTACTTCCCAAATTATGAGCAAATTGTATTCCAAATGCACAAAAAGCTAGTAAACTTGCCTATGTTACTGAGGACACTAAATCAACATGTGCAGATGAATCCTAGCCATTGTGCCTCCATATGGTTCACATTCTTAACAACTATCTCATACCTCTCAAAGATGCTTAAGATGTAGATCTCCACTTCTGTGAGTTTAAAGTCTAGTGAGGGAGAGAAATTAATTTGGGCACTGAGATTTCCAAAGTTCTCTGATAAATGCCAAAATACTGTGTTCCAAAACCAAACCAAGCTCACTGCCGTGGAGTCAGATCTGACTCATAGCGACCCTTCCTTTGTGTTTCCAAGGTGGTATCACTAAGGCAGTAGATTGCCCAACCTTCCTTCTGAGGAGTGGCTGGTGGGTTTGAACAGCCAGCTTTCTCGTTAGCAGTCAAATGCCTTAGGCACTATGCCACCAGAGCTCCCAAATACTATGTTTAGTGCTGTTGAAATTTGAACAAAGATAAAATATTGAGCTGCAACACATTAGAAGGAGAGGATCTTTGAGCTGAATCTTGAAGGATGAGTAGCAAGACAGGATGAGGTTGGGACTGGCATGTAAGTGGAGAGAACTGCATAGTGAGAACACAAAGGTGGTGATTGCTACTACCTGGTGAGGCCAGTGAGGTCAGAAAGGCTTCCTAAAATCAGTAACCCTTAGCTGAGTCTTTAAAATATCGTTAAGGGTTTGCCAATCAAATAGCTGAGGGAGGGAAAACATTCTGAGCAGAGAAATGGGATAAAATTGTTAGACTTTAATTCATGTAGTAAACAAATATTAACTGAAGACAGTACAGGGGAAGTCTTGCACTTGTCTCCCAGAGTACAAAGACAAGAAGAAGTCTCAAGTCTTTATCCTCAAATGCCAGACAAGTAAAATACCCAACTGCCATATGTGTGAAAAGTGATATGACTGAGATAGTAAAGCATTTGGAAGAACAAATTTCCAACCTGTGGATGTAAAAAGGTCTATTGGTCATGTGTTAGATTTCTGTGGACATTATCATAGACAGGTGCTGTTATGAATAGATATTATTGCTAATGGAATTACCAAGATACTAACAAAATCTTGCACTTTCTTTTTCTAGATGAAAGGCTGCATAAAGGTTTTGAAAGAACAGGCCCCGGACAGTGTGGAGGGTCTGCTGAATGCCCTCAGGTGAGCCCCAGTCACTTACCAAGGGTCAGCTCACCTGCAGATCTATCACAAATTTAGCCTGCTGTTTGGCGTCAACGGTTGGAATACTAGGCCCTTACGTATTCTAACACTTTTAACTTCCCGACAGCATAATGAGATCAGTATTGTTTTTATCATTTCTTTTTTAAAGATGGAAGAAATTGAGGAAGTCAAATAACTTGGCAAAAGTCATCCCATAAATGGCATGGCTAGGACTTAAACCGCAGCCTCTTTGACCCCACAGGTCATGGGCCTAACTCCTTGACACAGTGATTTGTGATTAGTGGGGCTCTTTTTTAGAAGAGTCTCACTTTCCCCTTCACCAGTGGTCCCCAACTCTACACATACGAATTATGTGGGAATCTTTTAAAAACACTAATGCTAAGGCTTTAACACAAACCAAAGGAACCAGAATCTCTATGGAAGGAGCCAGTCCCACATTTTCTGGTTATTCTAAAGCTCCCCAGGTGGCTCCCATGTGCAGCTGTAGTTGAGAACCTTGCTCTATTCTGTCCAGATTCCCAAGTATTTGGTCAGCTAGGGCTCATTACAGATGCTCACTGCCAAAAACCATGCCCAAGCACCTCCAGGCTTTCCACAACTGCATGTGGCTTAATTTATTCAGGGAAGGGATTCTTACTGTTTGGATGTGATATATCTACACATTGTTGAATCACTATTACTGTGCAATTCATTCCAATGATGGATGGCAGTCTGGAAGGCTTGTGGTTCCTACTGTCTTATTCATCTTTGATTTCCCTAGTTCTACTTAATGTTGTACATGCAGTAACTGTTCAATAAGTATACATAAAATGGATGAGTGATCATTAGTTCTCTACATACATCCAACATTTATGTTTCATACTCCACTTCTAATCATAATGTCTCATTTAGTCATCACAACTCAGATAGATAAGGCTAGTCTATTACCCCTAGTTAGTAAATGAAGAAACTGAGATGCACATGAAATAAACCAGACACTGAGGTTGATGCTGTTCTGAAGAGTAACTGAGTCATCACCATCCAGAACAGATGTACCTTTAGTACAAGAGCCTTCCAGATAATCTGGATAATCCAAGACTCTGTCCATTGGTGCCCATTTCACATCAGGCTGCTGGCTTTCCATGTGCAATAAAAACACTTTAGCTTCTGAAGATATAGAATTTTGCAAAGGTTCTCTCACTCAAGGAAGACTTAATTGAGAGCAAGACATTAAGCAATGAGTTCTGACTGTTGGAATATATGTCTCCTATAGACACTGTGATGAAGTAAAAACAGCACAGGCTTTCAAGACAGACAGACCAAGGTTTGAATCAGAAATCACAAATTATTCACAAATGACAAATTGTTAGCTGTGCAATCTGAAATCTAACCTTTGTGAATATCAGTTTTCTCACCTGTAAAATAGAAGCAGTAACCTCTCCTTCAGAGTTGTACTTGTGAATATTAAAAGAAAACTTAGATCAAGTGCCTAGAACATGGTCAAGGTTTTTGCTAATTCTCCTTTCCGTTCTTTTCATAAATGATTACTAAATGACATTGACATTTGAATTCTCATGAAACAACTTTTTTTTGTTTGTTCATCTGCATATTTGCCCCCTTGTGGTGGCAATGAAGATAGGAGTTGGCAAAAAGTTGTTGTTGTTGTTGTTGTCATGTGCCGTCAAGTCGACCCCGACTCATAGCGACCCCTCCTTGGGTTTCCGAGGCAGTATCACTACAGAAGTAGGATTGCCCAACTTCCTTCCGAGGAGTGGCTGGTGGGTTTGAACCACCAGCCTTCTGGTTAGCAGTCAAGTGCTTTTAGCCACCAAAAAGTAGGCAACCATAAACTTTTAAGCTTTGGGATTTTGCTATGCAAATCCATATTTTGAAATTGGTGACTTCACAGCAAAGCCGAGAAGCCTGATATTCTGCACTTAATCAGTGAAGATTTCCTCCCTGGAAAATGAGATTGCTTACATCTCTTCAGTGTAATTATTTGATTAGGTAGAAGATCAATTTTTTTTTAATACCACTAATACAAAATTCCTTTAGAAGGAAGAATCAAATATTAAATCTGTCTGAGAATACTCTGGATGCCGACCTGTGGTTCTTTGTCTCAAGAACCAAGGCAAAGTTTGATTTATAAATATCAGTTGTGTTTCCCCAGGTAAAGATGGGCTAGCAAGTCATTGTTGACTTTCATAGGGCACTATTACACACTAACCTGTGTCCCTCTCTCTCCGTCCAGGTTCACTACAAAGCACTTGAATGATGAATCGACTTCCAAACAGATTCGTGCAATGCTTCAGTAGAGTCTGCTCAGAGAAGAGGATCTATGTACTGACCTCAGAAGATGTATATGTTTACATAATTTAATACAGATTGATGTTAATACTTGTGTATTTACATAACCATTTCCTTCTTGACACTGAAATATATGGACCTTAATTTGTATTCTGACTGACGACTCAACCCAGCACAGCATAAATTGACTTGAGAGCCTTACTTTTGATGTTGAAAAAAAAAAAAAAACCCTGCTCCAAAGGCAAATTCTGAAGACTTTAATCTTTGCTACTGGAGTCCTCTAACTACACCTGTAACAATCACAAATCCCTAATAGTTTGTGATAGTGTTTAATTATAAATGTGTTATCTCTCTGGTAGTTACAGAAACACAAAGTATTCAATTTTATGTCTCAGCTCAGCTATGTGAAACACAACTGTTATTCTGAGACAAGGAGAGGGATCCAAGAAAAGAAAAATGTGTGTGTGGTGACTGAAACGCAAGTGTTTTGAATTCAGCGCTCCCCTCTCTTTTTCCTCAGACTGCAAAGCACACGTGCAAGTTTTCTGTTGGCACGTGTTTTATTTATCAGCATATTCTCTTTCTGGCTAGATTTATTCCCCTCTAATATTCACTTTCAATTTTGCAAGAGGAAAATGAAGCTACTTTTTAATCAGTGAGAAAGAAGTGGAATAAGTAGGTGTGCTGCTGTAGCTGGACTGATGAAGATGGTTATCTTGGAAGTTGGAGGCAGGAGGGGAGGAGGGACACCCAGACAACAGGACAGTAACCGCTCTGCTTCAACTCCCTGCTTTTGAGGGCAAGGACGTGGAACACTGGCTTTGAAATTATAGATCAGTGTGTGATGTTCCAGTTCTCTGCTCAGTGCTGGGAGTGCCCCAAAAAACAATTGTTGCCAAGTCAATTCTCATAGCAACCTCATGTGTGTCAGAGTAGAACTGTTCTTGATAGGGTCTTCAGTGGCTGATTTTTTGGAAGTAGATCACCAGGACTGTCTTCTGAGGCACTCTAGGTGGACTTGAACTTCCAGACTTTAGTTAGCAGCTGAGCACATTAACATTTTGTACCACCAAAGGACTCCAACCCTTCCCACTAGTTAATCCTGTTCTCTGTGGTCCATTCATGTGGAGACAGAGGTCTAAGGCACTTTATTGTTTATCAAAGAACTAAAAGAAGTGGAAGGAAAAAAAAGCCAAACTTATATTTTCTGGATGCCTGATATTTAAAAGCCAGCTCTTCCTCCATCTCACTACCAGCCTATTGCAGTGTGTGAAGTTCTGTCTGTCCTGTGAGTATCTGGATTCTAGTACTTGCCCTACTAATAAATCACAGTGTGATCTTGGAAAATTTGCTTCAGCTCTCTGCAACTCATCCTCCTTATCTATAAAATTGCCAGTTAAAACAGTTAATCTCTGAGAGCGTTTTGAAGGCCATAAGCCAATAAAATGACTGACTCTGACTTCCTTCTATAGCAAGAAGTGTCTAATAAGGATTACCCCATCTTATCCTTGTGATTAATGACATTAAAAGACCTTGAATCATTTGTAGATAAGAAAGCATAGAGTAGATTCTAGCAAGCTTCTGTTCTGACCTCCAGTGGAAAAATGAGACACAGAGAATCCAGTTACACAGAACGTTGGACTAGAATCCAGAATGCTTCGGTGCAGACTGTGCCCTTTCTTTTCCGCCATTTAGCCTATGGATACATAGTACAGGATAAGGCTGGACCTTTTTAAATAAATCCTTAGCCTGTCCTATATATATTACTTGTCTATTTCTGATAGAAGAAAGAGTAGCTCTGACAGTTAGTGAATGAGAGTCCTGGAAGTTGGGTCTGGGTATGACAAGGTTTGGCATCATTTGCCAGGAATGAGTTGTCAGACACCATTGCTTTCTGGACTTCAGAGGTTTAGAGGTGTCCTGGAGTCCTCAAGAAAAAGGAAGAAATCTTTTTTAATGCTGCTGTTTTTTTTTTTTTTTTTTTATTTTAATAAAAAAGAAAATGAAATATAGTCAAGTGGCAGAGTGGCAGGACAGTACTTTTCTACAGATTCCTTGGTCTATACTTAAGTATTAGTCAGCAGAGAGAAGACAGGCCCTTTTCCTAAGAGCTTTTCAAGCTGACCAAGTACAGCTGATTACGTGGATTCTCAACAGAAAATAAATACAACAGATAGCCTTTGGGATTGTTTGAAACTTAGGAATCCTAAAGCCCTAGAGGAAGGTAGAAAATGGGATAACACCAGGTAAGCAAATTCAGTATCTATTCAGTTTCAGAAATGATCTATTCAGAAGCCCCATGCTATACTTGTATAAACAACTGTCAAGACTAGAATTATAGAGGCATGTAATGTTTACAGGCGATGAGTCCATTTTCCTTCTTTACCAGGTGAGAAGATGAAGGCTTGGAGAGAAGAGAGGGCTTTTCCAGCTATCACAGAGAGTTCATGAGGCACAGACCTGTCACTTGAATCCGAGTCATGTGTCCATACCCCTGCTGCTTCTCAGTCTAGTTAAAGGAGAAATTGTTAGGGGTTAGCTGTCCATTTAAAAAAAAAAAATAGCAGAGTAAATATTTGAGCACATTTGTAATTTTTCACTGGAATTTCTATCAAATGGGACCAAACCTATGGGAAGGGCTGCTAGCCTGTCCCAGTTTAGCCAGGCCACCTTGTCTCAAAGCCAAGAGACACCAACAAATGGATTCTGAAAAGCTCAGGACCTGAACTGTTGCCTCTGGTTGTCACTAGGACAAGTTAACTGAATGTCTGTGATCACTAATAGGTGATGGACCTTGGGTCCACTCCAGAGCTACTGTGGGAGACAAATTCTTTTAACAGACTGTCCACCAGGCATTAGAAGTCCTTGAACGTCACAGTTACTTGTGCTGCATGCACATATGTCCGAGACCTGTGAGTGGTTTAGAAGAAAGTGCTAGAGACAGTGTCAGTGTCCATGTCAACCCTATTTCACATTTGATGTCTCATTGTTTTCAAATGAACTGTATTTCATGGCTCAGATACTCATTTTGTGTAAGCAACAAGGTGAAAATTATATTTCTCAGATGCACTGCTACTTTGAAATCCTAACTTTGTTCTCAGAAACCTTTCACATGCCAGTAGGAATAAGAAATAAAAACAAGTGGAAATGAATGTTTTTAATTGTGCTGACCCATTATACAGTATTTAACAACCAGAAAGTCTTGGCTTTATCTTTTAACTATTAGTTAATATCATCTTCACCAGCATTTGTTCCCAGTGTTGGTAATGATATCAAGATGTTAACAGTAAGCTGAGGTATTTGATACATCATCACAGTTAAGTAAAATATAATTCCATGCTCCCTCAAAGGAAGAAGAAACCTGCTTAATCTTCGACCTCAATTGTGCAATATAATTCAGAGATTTCTCATTGAATCTTATGTCCTAGACAGCTACTAATTTTTCTAGATGTCCATAATAAACATTGAAATTTTACCTTGAAGAGCCAAAAACTTTGGAACCCAATTTCCCTGCTACATCTATAAAAATTATTGCACACATAAAGCTGTTTTTAAATTGTCATATGTTGTTTGCTGAAGTCTTTGTATTCTTTTTTTTTTTTTTTTTTTGCCTGCTTTGCCTCTTTTTGTACAGAAGTTTTGCGTGTGAAATGAAAATTAAAGTTTGGTACATATATTTAAAAATATACCTCTATGTTATATGATATTCAAGGTTGAGTGGATGATAAACAAATGATCATTATTTCACATAGATATTTGCTCAATACTTGCTCTGGGAACTGGGAAAGCATACCATATGTTCATCACCTCTGGAAGCCTCACTTTCTTCAAAAACATGAAGTACCCAGAGTATACCACTCGGTATTCATGTGACCCAAGACTCAACATTTAAAAAAAAAAAAAAAGCAAACAGATATTGTTGACATCTAAACATAAAGGGGACCTCACTTTGCCCCTGCCTCTTGCTTACCAACACACGTGCGTGCGCACACACACACACACACACACACACAAACTTCTGGAGTATGAAAGGGGGTGAATGTATGAAAAATAGGTAGTAGTGTCATTCATACAGTTCCATATAAATGTAGATAATGAATTACCCATTTATAGACTATAGAGTAACTAGTTTAAGAAACGTTTAGACACATTTATGGGTACAAGCTTTAATGAGTCACTGTTGTACAAGAATATATCTGGTTATATGGCCTAAGTTTTTGAAAACTATACAAAATATAATCAGTCTCTGCCAAAAAAAAATCTATGAATCTGACCAGACATAACTAGGAGATATTCTTTAATCCTTTTTTTGTTTGTTTGTTTTTGTTTTTTGAGTCATAGTGTTGTACGGATTTAGAAAAATTAGCAAATAACCTATTCCACTTAGGTATACTTTTCAGACAGCATAAGCACTAAAAGACTGATTTTAACATTGAAATTGCTCTAAAGCATTACTTTTAATCTTTGTAACATAAGCTTATCACCTGAGAGTTAATTGTGTATGCCATCAATGGGACAGTCTCCAAGAAAGATCCTTCATGCTGCCTGGACAAAAGCACAATAGTTAAGACTTTTTAAGCTTCAAAAGGTAACTCTTGTTTTTACATGAAATAACGGGGAATAGAGTACACATATGATTGTCTGTAGGAATACCGTTAGTGGGGAATTGAGGGATTAATGATTCAGAAAACCCTTTATATCATCCAGAAAATTGGTTATAGTTCAGATTTCTTTTAGAGAGAATTAGGAGTTCACCTGGCCACATACATGGTATCTGATGGATATTTGCAATCTGAATTCACCATTGCTTTTATCCTTGACTTGTAAATGAAAACAAAATAGAATATCTAGGAGTTAGAAGTTTGAAAATGCATGTGATCTCTGTCCTTTAGGGTCGCTGTTCATTGGAATCCACTCAATGACAATGGGTTTGTTTTTTGGTTTCATGTGTTCATCACAATCTAAGTTACTGACTAGGTAATATAAATAATATTATTATATTTAAATTGTTTGTATTCATTAAATACTTTATTCAGTAACCAAATCCTTGTCTCCACTAATCTAAAATGCATGCTGATCACATCTACATGATACATCTTACACAGTAAATGAAGGGAGGTCTCAGACACTCTGCTTTAGCTCTAAAGTCAAAATCCAAAAAAAGAAGTTTTTCTGCCTTGGTTGCACATAGTTCCAGGGACTGTATTTTGATTATTCTAGCTCTTTTCTTGCCTGTTTTCCTCTGAAAACCCAGAACAGTTGAATGTGGATGTTCTACAAATTAAAAAAAACATTGCCATCAAGTTGATTCTGACTCC